TCTGTGTCAGTGTGTATCAGGAACCTTAGGACAGGTGTCAATCCATATCTGCCAAGTGACCCGATGTAGGGGGAACAGTCCCTATTCTGCTCTGTGTCAGTGTGTATCAGGGATCCTTAGGACAGGTGTCAATCCATATCTGCCAAGTGACCCTATGTAGGGGGACCAGTCTCTATTCTGCTGTGTCCGTGTGCATCAGGGGCTCTGAGGACAGGTGTCAATCCATATGTCAAGGTGTCAATATGTCATATGTCAGGTGTCAATCCATATTGATTGTGATTTAGGAATGTTAGGTGATTTCTGCCCTTTATGGATTAAAACCAGACTCTGTATCAGCTGTGTAATTTTCCATGGGAGTTTTGCCATGGATCCCCCTCCGGCATGCCACAGTCCAGGTGTTAGTCCCCTTGAAACAACTTTTCCATCACTATTGTGGCCAGAAAGAGTCCCTGTGTGTTTTAAAATTCGCCTGCCCATTGAAGTCTATGGCAGTTCGCCCGGTTCGCCGGTTCGCGAACATTTGTGTAAGTTCGCGTTCGCCGTTCTCGAACCGAAAATTTCGGGTTCGCGACATCACTAATTAATTATTTTGCTAGTTATTTATGTGTAGCCAGTCATGCCAATCCTGTATGTGTTTGTGAGGCCCGCAAATGTGTCTCGCCCAGAGAGTTGCAAACTGTACATGATGTGGCGCAGGGTAAATCAGAGTGCCATAACATTAGTCAGCAATTTAGATCAAATTTCAGAAATAGTCAAAAATTGTCACTGGCAATGCAGAGTTGCATAGTTTTTTTGTTTTTTTTTAACGTACCCATTTGAGGTGGGACATATGTCGCACAATAGTCTAATGGTCTCTTCTCCCTGTAGAGGTTACACAGATGCAAAGATCCAGAATATTTACAGCAAGCATTATATGGATCAATCTCTTTAGCTGTAAAGTGAATCAAATTTAAATAAATAAAAATAAATACAAATCATTAGAAGGTACACAATGAGTTTTTCTATTTTTATGTTATACATTGTTATATATGCTAATATTACTCATCCTTTTAAGACAATGATGATAAATGTTTTTAAAGCAAGCCATCAAGGAGCCCTAACAGTCCATCATTAAAGGGACACTCCAGGCACCCAGACCACTTCTGCCCATTGGAGTGGTCTGGGTGCCAACTCCCACTACTCTTAACCCTGCAAGTGTAATTATTGCAGCTTTTTATAAACTGCAATAATTACATTGCAGCGTTAAGTCCTCCCATAGTGGCTGTCTAGTAGACAGCTACTAGAGGGCACTTCCTGGTCCATAGCACAGGAAACCTGTGCTAGAGCATCGCTGGATGTCCTCACGCTGTGTGAGGACCTCCAGCGTCGCTCATTTCCCCATAGGAAAGGATTGAAAAGCATGCGCATTAGGTCTCCCTGGCCGGTGGGCGGGATCAGTCTCGCCCACCGGCCGACGCAATCACTGGGAGGAGTGGCGGTGGGGGAAGAAGCAGCGACGTGGGACATGTCGCTGCCTCTGGTAAGTAACTGAAGGGGTTTTCACCCCTTCAGCAACTGGGGATTGGGGGGTGGGAGGGAAAGGGAACCTGCAGTGCCAGGAAAATGGATTGTTTTCCTTGCACTGGAGCTTCGCTTTAATTACCTTGTGCAAATAACTAAAATTATATATTTTTTGTGAATGAAGCTAATTTCAGCAGACAGAAAGTTAACATTGGAACCCCTGTGATTGACTTCATTTCAAGTTTACCATTGCTTATATTGCATATTTTGCAGCATATACAAAGTTTTATGAATGTACTTAATTGTAACCAGATCTGCCTCAGATTCATGGAAACAACAATTGACTTTTAACTGCAGTTGTGATATGCACTACCCTCCATGAGACATGAAGGATTAAATGAAAATATATCATGTTCTAGCTGAGCTCACTATATCTGTAAAAAAATAAATATCTAAACATTTTAATATCTCTTTGTAGTTTGAATTTTAAAAATCACTGTTTAGAATATATATCCTAAATGAAACCATATATATTATGCATTGTTTTCATCTAGGATATATATCTAAAACAGATTTCACAAGATGCAATGCTCATGTCTGCAGCTTTGGCAAATCCTCCCCATCCAATATAGATCAATGAGATGTTTTTGCATGGCAGAACTGTTAATTCCCGGTTTGCTTACCTCAGTGGAGCTAAATTCAAAAGGCAGACTGAGCAATTGCATCCTCTTGCATTTAGCTCAATTGAGCTAAGCAGACCAGGAGGTAATAGGACCTCTAGTCTGCTTGAAAGCTAAGGGGTGTAATCAGGTAATTATATAAAAGTGTCAATTTCTATTGAAATCTGCACTCTTTGCAAAGCTAAAATAACAGGACACACTATTCATACATAAAAGCTTTTCAGCTAGCTAAAGCGCTTTAGGGGTCTGCAGTGTCCCTTTAAATGTGATAATTTGTAACTTGTTGTATATGTTTATTTTAATGCTCTCCACTACCTTTCCATGGATTTGATAGATTTTTTTTTAGGATACACTTTTCAAATGATTAAATTTTTTGAAAAATGTCAATATTTTGATATATTGAAATAAATAATTGTGGGAAAAATTGACAATTACTAAAATATAACTTTTAATGATACTATGAAAAATAATCATTATATAGGGATCTATAAGAACTCGCTCCCTCTATGTATAGTGAGCATATAGTTTATAGTTTATATAGATCCTTAGAATGATTATTTGTATCAGCGCAAAATAAAAGTTATATATTAATAATTGTTCATTTTCTCCACAATTATCTATTTCTGCTTAAAAAGCGCTCAACCCCTAGTTCTAGTGGTGGATTATTCTGTCTAAATATGTCTTTCCTATTTATGATAGTGGTAGACAAGAAACATCTTTACTTGTTGCACGATTTTGATATGTTGATCTTTTTAAATATAATATAT